ATTCATTTTTAATCAGCCTTCACCTGCCTGATCAACAATGCTCACCCCTGTTTCTCTTTTCTGGTTATCTCTTGTCTTATATTTTAAAGAGCAGATGCTAATCTTGGTGAAAATGCATTGAAAAATCCTTCTTTCTGTTTGTTTTCAGATATTTATAAGCTGTATTACATGAAAACTCCGTATGCTTCCAATGGTATTCCAGTGCTCTCCGTGGCGCAGTTTTAATTACAGTGTTGCTATAGGGGCTAAGCCGACACCTAGCACTGCCCCGTATCTCTTCTCCAAACTGAAATCCCTGTGTGGAATGCTCACGCAAACAGCTGAGGACTTCAGGGTTGAAAGGATGCAGTTTATGACCGTAAGAAGTAGGCAGGGCTGTGAGGGCCAGGTTCAGAAGATTTAGTCCCATGTTCCATGCAGACATAGAAATGTGGATTTCAACGGGGAAACACGCACATTAATACACACCTCATAAACTTCTGAGACCCCTTCCTGAGAAAGCTTCCTGGGCTTCCTTAGCCCTACAGTGAGGAGGTTAATTGAGATTCTTCAAGAGAAATCCCCTTTCTTTTCTTTCGTAGCCATGGAAAGACTCATTAAGCATTCTACACTCCATTCTTTCCCAGACCCTGACTTTGCTTAGCCCAAGTGCTAAAGCCCAGGGAGTGATGTCTGGGGATTCCATTAAGCACGTCCTTTGGCCTTCCCTCTGACAAGCTCAGTGTGGGAAACATCCTTGCTCCTTGGGTGAAGGATTCAGAGGGCAGCCATCAGAGGCAAGCTGCCACAAAGCTTTCCTTTTTCCTGAGTGGATGACTCTATTCTGGAGATTCTACCTGCAAGACTTTAGGGTGACACTCACCTTCTGCTCCCCAGAGTATTAGGAGTTGAGAAAGCCCCTCTGAGATGATCCTCTCAACCTGCCAGTGATAGCTTTGCTTAGTGAAACAAAATACTGAAAATGGTGCCTCACGGTGTCATACTTGTCTTCCCTTTGGAATATCTTTTCCAAGGAGTCCCTTCAGTAGCAAGCTCCTCTGTTGCTCGCCTGTGGCCTGTGGGCTACCTTCCCTCCGAGAACTGTCTGCTGAGGATATGGGGAGGGCCGTGAGAGAAAAGGGCAAGGCAGGACACGGGCAACGAGGGCTCATGTCTTTTCCTCTTTCATTATGTGTGTCCACTGAGCTGTCCTCTTTCTGTTTTGTAATGGGTTCTTCCATGGCAAGTTGACCTTTTGCCTGAATAGGTCAGATTCCCACTGAGTGCTAATCCTCAGCCTTCCTCACGTCTGTGCATCCCCGGAGGAGCGGCGCACTGGCCAGGAAGCTGACTGGGCGTGTGCGGTGTATTTCTGAAAGAGGGATTGTCTTTTACTGTGCAGAATTAATTCTCAGAGACCACCCTGTGAGGTTATGCTGAAGACTTCAGATTAGAACACTGTTTCAGAGGGAAGGCCAATTAGATACTGTTGAGGAGTAAAACTGATTTTTCAGACTGTGGTTTCCTTCTGTATCGTCTACTTTTTATTGAGAGGAAGGCCAAATGCAGTCCTAATGATTCATCAGATTATTTTGGATTTCTAAAAGAGATGATCAAGATTTCCTTAATTGACCTTTTAAAATAAAAATCTTTCTCTTTTTGTATTTTTTTATGTTTTAAGTTTCTTAACACTTAAAGTGCTTTGTTTTTAACTCTTGTAAAAAATGATGGTAGAATTGTGGTGCTTGCGGGTGATAGTTGTATGCTGGGCCTGGTTTTGTTTTAAATTGGTTAAAATTTTTCTTCAAAGTGTTTGTTAGGGTCAATAATCCTTATAGTAGTACAGATTTTCAGCATCAAATAGGCACAGAGCAAATATTGAATATAATTTTCAGTTGAATTATTATGTTTGATTTTTTCCTTTTAGCAGTTTATATAAGCTGTTCAAATTATGTAGCTCTCCTCACTGACAGTGAGGTAGTAACATAATCTTCATAGATCAGGGATTACATCTTTTATTTACCTGGGATTGTTGTGTATGTGTGTGTGTATGTGTATGTGTGTGTGTTGGGTAATTTAGTATTCTTTAAGGTTTAAAAAAGTCATCTTTTAATTGAACAAAAGATGAACTATATAAGCAAGTGAGATGAAGCAGCAATTTTTGAACAGTAATGCATATGTATTGTATCTGGGCTATCAAAGAGGCTTAAGAAGTCAATTTTGAAAATAGGGAAATCTAAAAGAGCTTCATAATGGATGATTCTCATACGAGGAAATGCCCTTTAAGTCTTCTTCAAGCATTAATGATCCTTTGTAAACACAGTAAGATTAAAATAGAGAAACAAAGTAACTGTGTTTACATCATTCCTGAGTTATCAATGTCTCAATTCTCAAAATACCAAATATGATAGGTTAAGTGCAAGATAAGAATGTATTTAACATCTATTCAGTTGCCAATAATGCCAGTGTTAAAGCTGGGCTCCTACCAGGGGCATAATGGGCTCCTGTTTAACATATTTATGTTGGTTGTAAAATTAGGAACTGTCATTACAGCCCCACATCACCTGCATAAGTGAAAAACATATAAATCAAGAGAAGTTCCAGAGCCATAAAAATGCCATTGAGTAGAATAGCATGAAACTACTTACAAGACACTTGTATATTATGCTAGCACGTATGGGGATGCACACTTTGGTTTCTAGAGGGTTTAAAGAACAAAGAACAACTGCAGGTAGGACTCTCAGATACAAGGCCTGATGAAGACATTTTATTTGGAGAGCAGCCTGGGTCCTAGTGGGGAAAAGTCAAGAAAAGAAGGGCAACAACAACCTGGCTTGAATAACACCTGCATGCTATTCAAGACAACTGTTTCTGGGCTTCTAGAAGGCGTTCGAGCTGCCATCTGTGGTTATTGAAGCTTGCCTTTTAGGCCTGGTAGTAAATAAATGCCTCCATACATTTCCTGTGATATTTTAGGGTCCCTTATAGGCTAGGCTGTTTGGCCTCCTCTTCATCCAGTTTTTTGTAGAATAGCTTATGTTGTCTAAAGTTGCTACATTTTTAAATGAGGTATAGTGGTTTAGTATTTTGAACTTTGTAATTGAGAGCCCTGAAGTACCCCCCAAATTATGAACTGCTAATAATGATCTTTCTGAATCATAATTACTGCCTCAAAAAGAGAGTGGACAGTCTAGAAGTCTTTCAGTTCCCCCTTTCCCTCCCAAAACCTACCCACCCCCATAATCTTAAAAAAAAAGGCTGCAGATTTTATTCATGTGGGATCATTCACACCAAGCTACCATAATGTGCAATTAACACTCTAGAAACTGAAAACAGTATTCAGCAAGACAGCTGCATTATCAAAAATGCCAAAGGAGTTTTGAAGGGAGTAATGTGCATGGTAGAATAGGAAATTAATCAGAGACGCACACGCGCACACACATCCACAGAAGTGCTGTCCTAAATATATTTGAATATTAAAATATTTTAAATCCTATGTCTATATTTATAATAAAGATTAACCTCAAGATAAAAACCAGATTTTTCTGTCTTAAAATTACTACTGTAGTTGTATGTTTTGCTTCTCAAGCAAACAAGGATACTGGAGTAGAGCTCAAGGTTTCTTCCTACTGGAATGTTCTTTAATAATAATCACTTTTCAATTATATTTTATAAATTTTTTCCACTGAAAAAATGTTCTTTTATTTTCTTTTGCCAGAAATAAGAGTACTGAACACTCAGGCTATTTTCAAATTGTCTTTCAGACATTGCAGTAGTAAACTTTCTACTATAACAGCACAAAAATCATAAGTGTATTTATATTATAATCCCTGTTAAATTATGGCTCCAACAGACAGACTCAGTAACTGAAATGAAGCAAAATTCTCCCACCTTAATTTTGCTGAAATTTTCTTTTCAGCTAGCTCAAAGTATGTTTAGAAGTCAGAAATAGAGGATTTTAATGTGGTTTTCAATTAGTAGTGTCTAGGTTCAAAAAGCACAGGTTTGTAACAGAAATTTTCAAGAAAAGCAAGAGGATATGGAGAATTTACTAGTTGGAAATATAGAGAAGATGTGTGTCTTTGCTTTTATAAATCATTGTGCAGAAAACAGAGATTTACAATGCTTGGAATTAAAAATAAAACAAAATGGAAGAATATGTTTAAAAGGAAATTGCCACCTCATGTTTTAAAAAGTTGAAAAGCGGAGACCCTCATCTCTGGATTACCAAGTGTCACACCTGAAGAGGTCAATTTTGTTAAGGGTTGTTGGGGTTTTGTGAGTGGCAGGTCTCTGAAGGCAGAGCTTGTGGATCGTGTCTGGAAGGGAAGGATTAGCCCTGGTCGGTAGGAGAGTGGTGGTGTTGGGGAACTTAGGGGAAGAACAGTCACTGACTAGCTGACAAAGCGTCCGCGTGCGCTTCTTGTAGGTCCTGTAGCGTACTTATGTGTGAATATTCAGCAACTGTGAAATCCAGCCATGGTGGGACACGTCTTACTAGGACAAATGGCCATTAATGAGAATCTCTTATCGATTTGTTGCTTTTATTAAACTGTCATAGTTATTACATTAGAAAATATAATAAATCTCCTATTCATTTTTTCTTTAGCCTAGAAGATGTGACAAGTTTAGGATTCTTTGGGGTGAAAAGTAGTTTGTAGATGCTTAAAAATATCAATACCTTAATATAAAAATGTACTAACTTATTTTCAAGGAATATGAACATCTGTGTTTTTACTTGAATATACAAGGAAAAGCAAAAGGAATTTTTCAAAGCTGGGTATGGGTTTTGGTTTCCTTTTTAATGTTTCTAGAAGTTAATACTCAGCCTAATCTATGCTTATGTTCTGATAACTCAGAATCAAAATGAATACTGGGTAGCGTTTCTTTCAGATCTTATTGATATCATGATTGGGTAGTGGTGCAATTGTACAGAAATTAAGCTGATGTTATGAAATCAGAACTCCAACTTAATTATTTTTCTTTCTTTTCTTTCTCTCTTTCTTTTTTTTAAGTTATAGGTGCACAACGAAGGAGAAGCCCCAGCGCACTAGCCATTGAAGTATTCGAAGCACATTTGGGAAGTCACATTTTGCAGGTATCTTTAAGAGAAAAAGAAATTTGCTTTTATGTAACCAAGAAAACTTCATGTGTTTATTCTTTTTATAAATGTTTTAAATATTTGTAAATATTTTTAATTTCAAATATGTATTTCTTGCTGTTTTTCTTGGAATTCTGAAATTCTTATGAATTTGTGTTTTTTTTTTTTCTTTTTAGAAAGCCATCCTTTGAGAGAATATTAATGAGAAAGGGAGGGCAAGTATTATCTGTGCTGTAATAATTTAGATGAGTTGCACTATTTATTTGATGTGCAATGTATAGTACCTGGCTGTTCCCGGAGTGGTTGTTTGTGTGCTGTATTTGTAAGTGGATATATGTGTGTGTCTTTGGAGCTACATATTGTTTTTGGAAGAGCAAGTTTTGTTGCAAAAGTACTGTGACAGTTTTTATTTGTTGCCTAACTTCAGTTCTTTGCTTGAGTTTGTATTTGTTAAGTGCTTCCGATCATATTTGCTTCTCCCAATCAGACAGTTGCTTAGGATGAAATTTTTAGAGTCTATTTTTACATAAAGGAAACCAATAATAATATTTTTTCCAGTGACTTGCTTGACAAATAAATGCGGTGTGCTAAGATAAAACTGTAGTTCCTTAGCCCTACAGAGGATTCATCCCAAACTCAGCATCTCACTTACTCAAAGTGCTGTCCCCTAAAGCTGTGCCCTGGATTCAGCGCATCCACCTTCACTGGAGGGGAGCTGTCCTAGGGTTCCCGCTTTCAGGATAAATGTTGTCACAATAAAAGCTCCCTTTACTGTGGAAGTTATTTTTACGTGGAATTTGAGAAGGAGACCATATTTTGAATATTTAGGCAGCTTATTGTGTTTGCAAAAGTTGGTTATGTTTTTCTTAGATAAACTTTGTAGCTAAATAAAAATAAACATCAGAAAGCTCTCAGCTCAGAGTTTTAAAATAATCTCAGTGGTGCTTTTGTTTTCTAACTAGTCAAAAAGTAGTTCAAATCTATCATATTATTCTCTACGGGATATACACTGAAAAATTCCTCTGATCAAATCCCCCATGTGCTCTAAAGCAGTTGTTTGACTAGGAGTTTGAGAATCACCCAAGAGTTATTCACAAGATATATTCTTGTCAGGATCTGCTGAATCAGACTCAAAACCTTCTGAGATAATTTTGATGTTTCCTAAGATCTGAGAAGTCACAATTCACATTTGCAAATGTAAGGCTTTGAGAAGTCTTTATTTTTGTTTATTTTACATTTGTCATTTTCCTTTAGTGTCTGTGAAAATAGCTCATACAACTGGTGTTTCTTGAAACCTACCTTGAGAGATGTTATTCTATCAATACATAAAATTCCAATTTGCCTTTGCAGTAATCTAGGATCAATTTTAAGAATACAGAAAGAGATATATTTCTAGATCTTAAAATTATGTCCATCTTTCTTCTACATACTTTGTTCGGAATCTCCATTATCAAATTTTGTAGGGGCCGTAATATAAGGGGTGTGATAGAAAACTATAGGAAATAGTTTACATTTTACAAAATTTTATTACAATAAAAGGCACATTGCCATAAATTCCCCTCAAAACACTCCCACTCACTTTCAAACATATTTATCCTACCCTTCTTGCCACTCTGACTTAATTCTAGAAGGCCTTTTTCCTGAATCTCTTTTGCTGCAGTTTTGGGACTACCTCATTGTCCTGAGCTAGTTCAAAAGGTTCACCTAACACAGTCACATTGACTTTGGGGAACAGCCAGAAGTCACACGGTACCAGATCTGGTGGATAAGGACACACTATAATGTTTTGACAAGCCTATCTTTCCGTTGGATTGCACTCAGCAGCAGCATTTACTGTAGTTGTGAGCACATGGGATAAAGTTGCTCACAAAATAGGACTTCCAGAACTGCTTCAAAAAGTGGCAAGAATGATGGGATAAGTGTGCTTGACGTAAGGGGAACATTTTGAGCAAGAAGGAGTATTTTAAAAGTGATTAATGGCAAAGATTTTTTTTACTGTTATGATTTTTAAAATTTAAATAATCAATAATTTCCCAAAAGAGCTAAAGACATCATATTACAGTGATATATATCCATGTTTATAGCAGCAAAATTCATAATAGCTTGTAAGTGGCCTATATGTCTATCAGCAGATGAATGGATAAAGAAAATGTGGTATTTACGCACGATGGAGTACTACTCTGGCCTAAAGAAAGATGAACTTGAGTCATTCATAGAAAAATGGATGACTCTTGAGACCATGTTAAGTGAAATAAATCAGACATACCAGATTAAGTATTGCATGATTTCTTTTTGAGAAACCCAAATTATAAATAAAGACCAAAATAAAAGATAAATAATAGGAGAAATGGAGATAGCTTTTTCTTCTAAGAAAAGGCGATCAAGAGGTTGAGCGAGGGGAAAGGACTGGGGGAGGATGAAAAAATTATTGAGGTGTGTTTTGTATACGTGCCGACTCCTCACAGGGCATGTGCTGCAACCGTGTACTAACAAAAAATAAAAACTGAGGGAAAATTCCATAATCACTTCATCGTTTGCTTGTACTTTGCAGAGGTTGGTGTGATTCAGAACTACTCCTGTTTATGTTCTGAAGCACTCGTTGCCTAAAATTCAGTGAAAGAAGTGTCCCAAGAGTAGCTCTAGATTATTGCCCTCTCGATTCTTTGTGGAAATCATGACTCTAACGTTGTGTGGGGAAGATGACTTAGGAATTGGGAGAATTTAAACCTGACAGAACTTAAAGAGTTTAAATTGAATGCGGCTCAGTATCAAAATATAATATAGATTAGCTGTCTCAAGTGCCCGTTTAACACTGTGCTTCACTGGGAGAACAGAGGACCTAGACAGAGGCTGCCAGCTCTTCTTCATTTTGCACTGGTCGCACTCTGCTTAGGTGCCACACTCTCAGAGAAGCCCAGACAGCTGGGTGTCATGTGGGGGAGAATAACAGCACCGGCAAGAGAGAAATCCTGGCACCTGAGAAATGGCAAACAGACAGGGGGGATTTAATTTGGAAAACATGTGACTTAATATATTCTTGAAGACATTTAAAATATTAAGAAAAACATTAGGTGGATTCTGTTTGCCTTCAGAGTATAGAAAAAAAGAGCAACAGGTACAAATTGAAGAGAATTTTTTTAAAAAACCTTTCATACAAGAACATTCCCCTATGGAAACTAGTACGTAGCTTTTTAAAAAAACTACAATTATAAATTCCATTTAACCAGGCTGTTCTTCCCTTTCTGGGCATATTCCTGAAAGAGTTAAAGGCATAATATTACAGTCATACATGCGTGCCCCATGTTATTTAACACAACTTGTAATAAATGAACCTTAGAAATGACCTGTATGTCTGTCAGCAGATGAATGGATATAGAAATGAGGCATTTATACATAATGGAGTACTACTGTGCCATAAAGAAGGATGTTTCAGTCATTTGGCAGAAAATGATCCACTTTGAGACTGTAATATTAAGTGAAATAAATGAAAAGTTTAAATATCTCATGCTTTTTCTTATATAAGAAAATCAAAGTATAAATAAATTAAAGAACAAAATAAAAGATAATAGGGAACAGGAAGGTAAATCTTTTACAGCTAGGAAAGGGAACATGAGTTGGAGTCAGGGAATAGAGGATATAAATAGAGGATATAAAATGAATTAAGATATGTCCTGTATGTGTACGAACTCCCCATGATAAATGTAGTTATTATGTCCCTGCAAACATATACTAATAAGAAAATGCAAAGGGAAAAAAAAAAAAACACTCTCAAATGTAATTGGCCGCATTTGGAATAAGTTCAAAACTGTTGGGTTGGGCTGGGGTTTTAGCTCAGCAGCATAGCGCCTGCCTGGCAAGCACAAGGTTGTGAGTTCGATTCCCGGTACCAGAAAAAAAACAAACAAAAAAAACCTGTTGACTTTAAGGAAACATATGGATAACTATTAGCTTTAGGGGAATATATCAGTAGATTGGTAGATAGGCTTTTAAGTAAGACTTCCAAATATTGTGGAGTTGTATAATCTTGAAATTGCCATAGAAACTAGAATTTTTTGTGTCATTTGATTTTAACACAAATGGTTATGAGGTGGAAGAACTATGTAATATCTGTATGGAACATGCAGCCTAATATCTTATTCTTTTAAATAAAAAAGCATGTGGGCAAGGGAGGATTGGGTAGTAGGAGAAGAGAAGCCTCCTATAAGTTATCTACTTAATTGTCATACTTAATTAGCAGAGAAATCCATGAGCCCAGAAGCTCATGTCTGCACCACATTCAGCAGGATCCTAGTGTTCTGTAAAGATTAGATGATTTCTATGTTTTGTTTCAAGAAAGTCTGTTGTAGAATCTAATTGATTCATGGAGGCTGGAGATGAGTTCTCCTTCCCTTCACTCAGTCCTATCCTCCCTTCCTTGTAAATATTTGATAAAATCTGTGTGGTCAGCGAAGTTTTGGTAGGGTCTCCAACTTCACAGTTATAGTCATTTGCTGTCCTCCAAATGCTTCAGATACTTAGTAGGGACACACAGTTTGCTTGATGTGACTTCTGTCTTTAACCAGCTTGCATTTGTTTGGGGAAAAGAGGAACCAAATGGCCTCATTAAGTGAGGAATATTACACTAGTCAAGTACGATGGAGTAATAGCAAGGCTCTGCATTAGGCAATTGTGAGGTAGGACTGAGGATGGGGCTGTGAATTACTAATCGCTGGTGTTTAGATGAGTGATAGTTCAAATGAAGCAGCAAAGACTCACGGCAATGATGTTGGGCAGAGAGGGTTAGAGAGAGGCCACCCTGGGGAAGGTTAGCACCGAAAAGTTCAGCAGAAGATGAGGAGAAGGAGAAGGCAAGGTGGAGAAGGAAACCATAGGAGTGGATTTTGCTAGAGGATGGAGTATTAATAATCTCAGAGGAGCTGGGGATAAATATTTCAAATACTGAGGCTACATCATAGGTTTATCAATTGGAATCGTTGCAATAAAAAGTGCAGAAGACA